TAAAGTCAGAAACATTTGCTATCTTAGTATCTGCTTGTCTATCTAACTGTCTTCCGTTTTGTCTGTTCAATCGCACATTCAGAGGCGAGACGATATGTATGTGCATGCTGTAATAGTCTAGTTGTCCTCTAGTAAAACGAGACGAGAGGAAAGAAAGAGAGAGGAGTGAACGAATGAACGACTGACTAGCCATCTAGTCAAGTCGACAGACTGAATAGTATAGTACAAGTCATAATTACTGTTCTATTAAATACATCGATTGCTGAGTGTGTATGTCTGACGCTTCTGTCTGGGTCAGTTCCATTTGAACTATTTATTCACCTTGGTTATGCTCTGTCTATAATATATGTAGATATTACTCCTTAAATACAAACGACAGTTATTTTTTACTAAAAGTTTTTTTTTAATGATGAGAAACCCATACATTTACACACATATATATATATATAGGTAGTAGAAGTTTTGTTAGTCAACATTAACAATAAGTTAGCCTCGAATTTACTCTTCTTCAATTGTTGGTGGTAGTGATGATGTTAGTAGTTTACGTCACATATATATATATATATATACGGCGCCGTCTTTACCGTGCTACGATGAAGAGTTGCGCAATATATTCTTTCCTTCGCGCTCATTCTGTTCCTTCTTAAACACAAGTCTTCCTTGAACGAAAGTACTGACCGTGTGTATAAATGTGTATTAGGTAAGATACTCGTCCGAAACAAGTACTCAGTCAGGCAATGCACATAAAATGACATTGAATGAGAGTAAAAGCGAGGCGAAGATGAGCAAATTTTTTATTCAACTCTCTTAGTTTGATGCATGTCATGTCCCTCGCCTCGCGCCTGTCGTAATCGATGATATTCGATTGATTGTGAGGCGAGAGTGTAAAGTAAGTGTAGTAGAATAGTGAAATTCAATAATTTTAAAGATGCGAATATACGTATGCATATGTATATATATATATATTCAACGTTGAACCTTGACCTCGACCGTGTATAACTCGTTTTCGTTGCTTTTATCCGGGAAAAAAAAGAAAAAGATTTTTTTTTCCATAATCAATCTTGATAAACTTCATGGTAAGAAGTTAACAAAATCCCGTATTCTTTTCGATGTATTTTTTTGATTAAATTTTCCTAGAATTTTTCTTTTCTTATCAGATCATTAGTTATTTATATGCGAATAGAAATATATATATTTCTTTTTTCGTTAAAATAAGAAAAACTTTTGCAATCCTTTGTCTTTTGTTCTCATTGAATCATAAAGAAAAAGAACGACAAAGAATATATTAATGAGTATGATAAAAAATGACAAAAATACCAAAACATTTTCGTCATGCTATTAATTACCTGAGTAAAGAATCAGACTATCAACCGATGAATCTTGTTTTACATTCTAAAAATTAGTTCTTTTAATCTTTTCTTTCTTCGATTATCGATAAGTAAGGACAATAGGCGTCGTAGACTTTTGCGTTGTTTTTTCTTCTCAGAATAGCATTTGGACGTAGGTGAATATTTATATGTACGTAGTTTGCTTATTTGAAAGCGATTAATACATATCTATATCATCATGTGCATCTAGGTAATATCGCTCAAAAATAGTGACAATCATAATAACGCCATCATTGCTAGTAACTTATACGTCAGCAAAAGCACGTGGGGTAGCCTTTTGACGTATGGTTCAAGGTCATCTCATATATTTTTTTTTATATAGTTAGTAATATATATATTTGTATACATGTCCTTGAAAGTAAGAGAAAAAAGTAAGAAAGAAAGAACAAAATGAAACAACTGGGCAAGCATTGAGACGATATAAGTAGAAAAACAAGAGAGAATAAGGGGCAAGGGTTTCTTATTTATCATAAGGTTTGTTGTTCTTTTGAATAGGTGTTTACTTTTTAACGAAAAAAAAAATATATTATCGATGAATATTTTTCTTCATATTTATTTATATGCAAGTCTGTTTTTGTAAGGGTAATTTAGTTTGACTTTAAAACAAAATTATTATTTATTTGTTAACTTTTGAAATAATGAGAAATAGACTAGTAACAACAACAACAATAGCATATGCATTTCTAAACCCCTTCAGTAATTGTATTGAATTACGTCTCACATCCTATTCTTCTTCCGTTCATCGTTCCCGTTCTCATCGTAGTAATTTGTATGCTCACATTTATTATTGCATAGCGGTGATGGCTAGACAGGAATTAAAGCATCACAAATAATAAAGAAAAAGAAGAAGAGTGGACAATACGATCGTCGCCGCCGTATGTGTACAGATCGGATGAACGAGTAGAGTAGTGAGACAACAACAACATCATAGTCGTCGTTCATAATCGATTACACAACATATATTCTCTTCTTTTTTCTTCTTTTGTAATTCTAGACCGATAAGGTCACATATTTCTCTTCGTGGACTGTTTGACAAGTCCACTCATCATCCATGATTCCCGCTACTGCTGCACCACCACATTCAATAAATACACTGGATCGAATTGCATTTTATAAGAGTGTTCGCGAAAAACGCAAACAACTTCAACTAAATCATCATACGAATGGTGAGTATGTTACTATAAAAGATATTCATAAAAATGTTTTGTTTTGTTTTCATTTCTTCTAGGAAAGGAGAGTATAAGTTCATCAACAGAGAATGCTTTCCTCACTCAAATGCTTCAATCATCTTCAACTTCTACAACATCATCATCATTAAGTATACCATCACTTTTACGTAAAGGTGATTTTTCATCGTCATCATCATCCCATCGAACAGCTTCAAGTACTCTTACGAATATTTTACCTGCGCTACTTAATGGTACATTACAATCACCACGTGCTATATCACCGTCAAGCGTAACAACAATAACAACAACAACAAATAATGCTAATTTAAATTCTCCAACAAGTACAAATACAACTGATACTCTTGTTGATATTAAATGTTCAACATCATTACCTGTTTCACCAGCTGCTAATACACATAATAATAATAATAATAAT